ACTGACGCAGGCGCAGTGCGCGCCCCACGTCTCTGCAGCCCCACCCGGTCGTGCTGGTAACGCTGTGCGCGGGGTGGAGTGCTCGGGAGTCCCCTCACACGCCCCCTCCCGCGCGCTGCGGCTCAGCCTGGGATTCCCTGCCGCAGGTGCGCAGGCGCGGGCTCGGGATTCCGAAGGTGTGGTCGCAGCATGAAGGGGCGTTTCTGTTAAATGATCAGACGTCATTGTCAGCCCGTCCTTGTGTCTGGGGGTCGAAGGTTCCACTCTTTGATCCCCTCAGTGTCCACTTAAAATCCCCGGCGGAGGTGGTCACGGGCAGCCCAAGACCGTCTCTTCTCACGGCAGCAAGGTTTCAGACCCTGGAGGTAAGCGGCCTCAGCCTGTGCTCGAGACTGCCTCCTCCTGGCCTATCGCCCGCGCCGCCTCCGCCCTCAAAGACGCTAACAAGGCTAATCAGGATCCCTCACAAGGGATGAATCATGTCCTGGGAAAATGTCCACCCGGGGTAGCATCCGTCTCCGGTTCTCAAGGCACTTCTAGATGTGTCTGCCTTCCCTCACTCGACGGCAGGGAGCTTGGTTGATCCAAGTCCGTGTCTATCCTTCCCCACTTGGTAACCACCAAAGAACGTTTTCTGCGAAGCTTTTGACATTTCAGAAGAGTCTCATATAGTTGTCCATTTGTACTTGGCTTATTTCACGTGGGTTCGCGCATGCTGAGGTCCTGCAGACCTGTTGGTTCTGAGGGACACCCCAAACCAATCTGGCGCTCAGTGTATCTTAGAATTTTGTCAACCCCCCGCTGTTGAGCCACCCTCCAGTCCCTGCACACTACACTTAAGCTGTACCCAATTATCCCCGTACCTTCTCCTGGAAGGGGCACGGACACCTACTGGCCCTTCCACAGTGGCTCCTTCACCTATCTCTCTTCGTGGAGAAGCTCCCCGTCATGCTTCAAAGCCTTTCCAACTGTGAAGGTCTCTACCACCCACCACCTACCCCAAACTGGCTGGCTCTCTGGCCCAGCCCAGGCCCCATGGGACTTGGGGGTCTCAGTAGGGAACTGCATCTGAGATTTGAGATGGGAGGGGGACATCCCAGCAGGGGAGATGCAGGATAAGGGCCCAGGGGGACAAACCTGGTGTTTAAGAAGCTGAGAGGCAGGAAAAGGGGTAGAGGATGGGGAGCCTGGGTGGAGAGCAGTTAATCCTTGCCCCCATATTTCCTCCTCCCTGGG